TCTCCTCTTTTGCTTTTGTGATAAGCCAACAAGTGTTTGAGAACCTACTTCAGGACATGACCAAGAGGAAGAGCTAAATAGGTTCTAAATTCAGGAGACTTCCTTCTTAAAGATTAAATACAATGAACAATTAAATATTCTTCTCAAATCAGTTTTTATAAAGTGTTCCAAAAGCCTAGAAATAAAAGATGAGTTCCTCTGATATCAAGGTAGCCCCCCAAAAATACCCATAAGGAAACAAATTAAGAATGTGAAGTCACAGCTTTCAAAAAAAAAAAAAAATGAAGTAAACAGAAGAATGAGATTTACTGCATTTCATTTGCTTATTCCTTTTTACCCAGAGAGTTGTTTTAAGAATTAAATAAAATAATGAGCGTAAAGTGAATAGCATGGTGCTGGGCACATGGTAAATGTATAATAAATATTGTTATTAATCTGGTTCAAACTTAAGGTGAAATTGATAAAGTGTCCAAGTTAACCAACTTAAAACTTTTCAAGTATTAAAGGATATCTATTTTTAAAGATAAAATCATGACTTTCATACAAATATAAGATGAATGCACATCAAAGATTTTACTTAACTACCTAATTTTTTAAAAAAGATTTGTTTGAGAGAGAGTACAAGCAGAGGGAGGGGCCGAGGGAGAGGAGGAGAGAGAGAGGGAAAGAAGCAGATTCCCTGCTGTGCGTGGAGCCTGACATGGGGCTCAATCCTACAACCCCAAGATCACAGCCTGAGCCGAAATCAAGAGTCCGACACTGAACTGACTGCGCCACTCAGGGGCCACTTAACTACCGAATTAATAAAGGAAGCAGGAAGATGTTACAACTGGCTCAAGGAGAATTCAAACAGCAGACCTAGATCTAGATCTGCAACACATGTATCTATCTATGCCATGGAATGAATTTACAAGTAAATGCAAAACTGGCTTTTACCAGATCTGTTGATTCCCCCTAAAATCAAATTCATTTGCATATCTATAGACAAAATCATTTACATGAATATCAGTTATCTACAATGTATAGAGTTTTAAAATAGCTCTAAGACAATGAAAGGTATAAATCCCACAGAATCTGATAGTCCAGAAGGATGTGATCTAGGCATGGTTTTCTAGGGAAGATGTCCATAATCTTTTTCGTCTGTATCAAAGTCTTTTACAATTTTTTCTTTATACATGGATCTTAAACAGAAGAGTTTTGCTGAATTAAACTCATTCTCCTCTAGTTAACATAACCTGATTATAACATAATACATTTCAATTATGAAGCGCTTAGATAATAAAGTATAAAGAGGAAAATGAAAATCCCCATATTCCTATCACTAAGAGATAACAACTATTAATACTTGAAGAGTATTCATCCAGTTGTTTCTATATATATGTGTCAGCATGTATGTATATATATTAACTGTTTTCAAATCAGTTTTAACAAACTTTGTTCTGGGAAGTTATATATATATATGTATATATAGATATGTATATATAACATTCAATTGTATATATCAATTTATAACCTACTTTTCCCCTTTATATAGTGAACATTTTTCCTTATCTACATCATTTTTATAGTTATAAAATATTCTGTTATATGGAAAAACCATAATTCATTTAATTAATCTACCACTATTAGAAATTTAGCTTGTAACCAAGTTTTAGTTATTATAAATAAAATAATGTGCTTCTCTTCTGACAACCTTTCTCTTGCAATGGTACCAGCTTTCTTGAAAAAGCCAAACATGTCACATGGTATCAGTTTCCAGAGGATGTTGGGATCCCTAGAATATCCGATCTTCCTCTGCTTTAATTGGCCTGCCTATTGCATCCGTGGAAGACCGGGAATTAGAATTGCCAGCTACCTGAAACCACCCTTTGTTCTTGCCATTTTCCTGACACACATCATAAAGATTTAGGCACATCTGAAGTTTAAAATAAAAACTAAGATCATCATGAGCTTTGACACTCAAGACCATTTAATTGAAAATGATATTGTCAATCCAGATCTTTTTTATTCTATTATTTTTTAAAGATTTTACTTATTTATTTGAGAGAGAGAGTGAGAGAGAAAGAGAACACAAGCGGGGAGGGGCAGAGGCAGAGCAAGAAGCAGACTCCATGCTGAGCAGGGAGCCCAACGTGGCGCTCCATCCCGGGACTCCAGGATCATGACTGGAGCCGAAGGCAGACGCTTAACCGACTGAGCCACCCAGGTGCCCCAATCCAGATACTTAAAAAAAAATTTTTTTTATTAAGTAATCTCTATGCCCAATGTGTGGCTCAAAGTCATAACCCTGACATCAAAAGTACCATGCTCTACCAACTGAGTCAGCCAGGCACCCCAACCCAACATGTTCATAGGGAAAAATGCATTTAAGGCTTAGTTTCTTAGAATGAAGGGCCTGAGGAAACAGAGAAAAATAGCTTTCAGCTAGGTAACACATAGCCAGAACTTTTCTTGATTTTTCAGACCTTGATTTTTTTTTTATATAAGATTGCATTTAATTAGAACTGATAGGGGCGCTTGGGTGGTGCAGTCGGTTAAGTGGCCAACTCCTGATTTCAGCTCAGGTCATGATCTCAGGGTTGTGAGATCGAGCTCCTTGACAGGCTCCATGCTGGGAATGGAGCCTTCTTAAGATTCTCTCTCTCCCTCTCCCTTGGCCCCTGCCCTCCCTCTCCCTCTCTAAGGAAAAAAAAAAAAAAGAAGAAGAGCTGATACATCAACAGGAGCATGACATGCAACAGTTGGCTCTCCTCATTAAGATCTACTTTTGCTGTCCTCATTCTAAGGAATATTTGAGAAAGGAATCACTAGGATCTAAGGGAAGGACTTCAAAGCCCTACAAGCTACCATTTAGAAGAGGTGGTCGTTGGACTGGGCACATGGTAGGTGCTCAATATTTGCTGAGTAGCAGAGGTAATAAGAAATTGACAACTAGCTGTGCAGTTTTCAGGGGGAAGGGAATCACTTAAGCTACTGCCTTTATTTTTTTATTTCTAAAAATGAGGAGAAATGACTGATCCCTCATGAAAAGAAAGGCTTCAGGGGCGCCTCGGTGTCTCAGTTGGTTGAGCGTCTGCCTTTAGCTCAGGTCATGATCCCGGGGTCCTGGGATCGAGTCCTGCATTGGGCTCCTTGCTTAGCAGGGAGCCTGCTTCTCCCTCTGCCTGCTGCTCCCCCTGCTTGTGCTCTCTTTCTCACTATCACTCTCTCTGTCAAATAAAAAAAAAAAAAAAAAGAAGGCTTCAAATGGAGCAACAGAGTTTGGTTTAAGCTAAGAAAAATACTATTAAAATAATAATCAGATATTTTAGCAAGCTACAGAGAAGACTCGTGGAAACTGTATCCCTAGAGACCCTGAAAATAAGACAAAGAGAGTCTAGGAATCCTATAGGTATAACAGAACTTCCCAAAACCAGAAGGAAGACCAGATTAACTTTTTAGGTCTTCTCCCGCTCTAGAAGGAAATCAAGTGGACTTTATGCTTTTATAAAATGAATTGGTGGTTTCCCTAAAATAAAGTGTATGTAACTGTAGCTTAGAGCTTGCTACCCACTACTAGAATGAAAGTTTCATAGACTACAAAATCAGGCAATAACAATCAAACTACATTAGTGTGCCTACTGTGTGCAAAACCTGGCCCAGGTTGGCACACTGATTTGGCCACTGTCAGAGACCGAATACCCAATGGGATGGGTCACGACTGAGATAATGTGATAATTCTCTTGGTCTTACATTTCTTCTTGTCACTTCTGGCAAAATCCAAGCCACCGAAACCACCATATTGTATTGATTCCTTCTGATGGTGACCTAGAATCTCACTACTTCTTTGGTATGATCACTCTGCATTTGATACTATTTGGTGTTGGGTCAATTCCATTCAACTTTTTAACATCCAGAATTTGTTAGGCACTCTACTAATCACAAGAAATGCCAAAAGCACTTCTCAATATGCTGCAAACTGCCCTCTGCATTCTGTGAATAAACAGGTCTGCCCTCAATTCTCCTATTTCCTCCTGGGAAATAACTTTCAAATGTGTAAAAGCTATGGTCACAGTTCCCTTCACGTGGACGTCTGACCATGGCTGATGAAACACCAAAGCCGCACTGAGGTCTCTGATGGCAAGTCCTTGCTGACATTTTCAACAGACCCACCATGAGAACATCAACCCCACTAAATATGAGGAGCTTTACTGCCAGTTCGGATTTTTAGAAGGAAGAAAATCGGTGTAACCATGTCCTATAGTCTGCCTCTCCTTTGGGGAAAAAGTACTTATTGCTGTAATATGCCTGTCCCTTCAAAAACAAATCATTATTCAGTTGCACATTTTTAAAGTGTTGTGAGGGGTGCCTGGGTGGCTCAGTCAGTTAAGTGTCTGCCTTGGGTTCAGGTCCTGATCCCAGGGTCCTGGGATCGAGCCCCACATCGGGCTCCCTGCTCAGCAGGGAGTCTGCTTCTCCCTCTGCCTCCCCCTGCTTGAGCTTGTGCTCTTTCTCTCTCTCTTAAATAAAAAAAAAAATCTTAAAAAAAAATAAAGTGTTGTGAAAAACAAAAATGTAAAGGGGGAGGAGGTGTTCCTCTGCTGTTTTATATTTAACTATACTCAGAGAAAAAGTGTCTTAATAACATCTTACATCTTTCTTGTGCTATATTCAATAACTTTAGAGACAAGACAAACCTGCAATTTTTGAAACGTAGGGGATTAGAAGAAATATAATCTAGCACAGGACAGAAACAAACACTAGGAACATAGATATGCTGACCCTGTGATTCTTTTAACAACCAAGCTAGAAGATGGAAATCCTGTGTTCTTTTAAATCACTACCATTGACTGTTGCTACAAACACAGCAAATAAACCTCCACTTCCAATTTTAGGCCAGTTAGTATGATAGCATTTCTTCCAAGGCCAAGTTTAAGTGAATTCCAAAAAGGTGAAACAGTGATCACAAGCAGAGGCATTTCTCAGAAGCAGGAAGTGCATGTTGGAAACTGGCCTCTTACCTTCGAAGAACTGCTGCAGGGCCTCATTTTCCCCTAACATATCCATGGTGCTGGGGTCCTAGTAATACTTCCTCCCAGAACACGGTTTCTCAGAGCTCAGGAAGTAAGTGCTGTCCTCTCGACTTGAAGCCTATGAATGCTCTTGAAAAATCTTCATTTTCTTTTTATTGGAGCGAAGCCTATCTTCTGCCAACAAATTGTGTCCAGAAAGATGGTTAGGTTCTCAAAATGTTTATAAAACCAGAATATGTGACCATGCAGGAAAAAAAAAATTCATGAAGAGGGAAGTGGTAACAAATCCATCTATCTTACTGTAGGGAACTGTTTCTACTCTGCCTTTCGTCTTTGTTTTAAGGACCTTTGTCCTTAGTGACACATGTAATTACATAAATGGGCAATAAATAGTCTTATCTCTTATTTGTCCTTTTACAACAATATATTTATATCTCCCCCTCTATCAACCAGATCAATTTAGCCATAACCAGGCAAATATAGAGTTTGTGTGTGTGTTTTACCTAGAGAAATCAATATATTTGCTTTTATAGAGATCTTGAATAGTAGATAATTTAAACAGGCTTGTGCTAATGAAAAGTTAGGATTGGTGAAGTATTTCCAAATTTAATCACAGTGAAAACTTAAATTCCTTTGATACACATCTAGTCTATCTCCTCCAGATTTTATTTTCTTTGAAAGTATAAAGTATGAGAAGCCCCTCTAATGAGCAACAAAACTGCATTTGATTCAGTAACTCTTACAACGGAGTATATACGGTTCACTTTTAGCTGGTTTCACTCCTAAATATAAAAGTTTTGCTTTCCTGCTCAACTATTAATTTACTTAATAATAGCCTAAGAATACAATTAGGAAATTAAATTGTCTCTTTTAGTCCCTTCCTTTTCTCTTTTCCCCCAACCTTTTATCTTGAAAAAGTTTTTAACCTATAGAAAAGCTGCAAGGATAGTACCATGAAATAAATACCCACTTACTCTTCATCCAGATTTACTAATTACCAATATTTTCCCACTTTTGCTTTTTCTCTTTTGCTATATACATTTTCGGCTGAGCCATTTGAAAATAAGTTGCTGACACCTTGACATTTTACCCAGAAATAATTCTGTGTCTCCTAACAAATTAGGACATTCTCCCACATAATCACAGTATTATTATACCCAAGAAATGTAATATAAATCTAATACTAATATCTCATTAGTGTTAATCCCACTGTCCCCAAAATATCTTTTATGACTTTTTGTTTTTTTTTTAAATCTTATTTATTTATTTATTCATGAAAGTCAGAGAGAGAGGCAGAGGCAGAGGCAGAGGGAGAGAAGCAGGCTCCCCGCCTAGCAGGGAGCCCGATGCGGGACTCGATCCCAGGACCCTGGGATCATGACCTGAGCCGAAGGCAGACGCTCAACCGTCTGAGCCACCCAGGCGCCCCGACTTTTTGTTTTCTGATCAAGGATCTAGTGAATGTTCAGGCATTGCCTTTGGTTATGTCTTTTAGAGATATAGAACACTCTTGTCATTTTTAGTTGTGTGGCTTTTTTATGACATTGACACTTTTTTAACAATCCAGGCCCATTGTCTTATAGAATGTCCCACAGTCTGGATTTGTCTGATTGCTTCATTATTGTTAAAATTAGTATAGGTGACGTGGTATACTTCCTAATAAGTATTTTAAAACTCCACACATATAAACTGATCCTTGAAAACAAGCAAGGTGGGCGCCTGGGTGGCTCAGTTGGTTAAGCGACTGCCTTCGGCTCAGGTCATGATCCTGGAGTCCCGGGATCGAGTCCCGCATCGGGCTCCCTGCTCG